AAATGTTGCAGCATGACTGCAAGAAGAATATCGCGAAAAATAAAATTATCGGAAAATGACGTATCCTACAAAGCTGGAAATCGAATAACTAAGCAATATTCATCAAGACATATGAATAAAGTTAAGGGGAACTGGGGGACGTCATAATGATGCGCAACGTGCATGACGCCAAAAAGATTCTAGGATGTAAATATATACATACATTGGTGAATACATTGGTATTCGAATATCGACATGAGCATGAGCTGAGCAGTACACGTACCGTAACATGTTTGTGACAGGCAAGAAACTATGTGATAGATACAAACAACACATACTGGCCTTGTTGAATATAATGTAGTTGTGAAACTATACTCAAAGTGTTAACTTAGGCTATAGAGTTCACTGTTTGTTAGTGCAAATTTCATATACGTTAAGTACTTGGAAGTACAAAACACAAACAGGCTACTGTGCTTATAACAACCGATAAAATCTGGATCATTCAGGGTCTATAATAGTTCGTTTCCTTTTTGCCACGAATCTAATTATGCAGATTGGATTAGAATAAGCCGAATTATCTAGGTTCATTGTTCAGATAATGTGATTTAATTATGTATACTGAATGTTTTGGAGATAGCGACGTGTAGCAGCCTCCATCTTCGCCTACGTCCCGCCTACGAGCGATCGAATGCTCTGTTCGAACGCTGTCAAGGCAGGGATCCACTTGATATATTTCGTACTCAATTACGCATTTGTTTTCGTTGCTGTACAGCGTACGTAATTACTTTACAAATAAACGTTATTGGAAAAAGCTTTCGGAAAATTAATGATGGGTATTCAATGTCCAATCGCAAGATGAATTGAAAATTTATGGAATTGCCAGAGACATTCAAAAAGTATTACCGTTTCCCGATCATTTGCAGCGGTAACAAATTAATGGGAATTCTTTTAAAGCGTTGAATTGTACGCGCATAATCTGTACCATAACTTTGTTAAACGGCGCTTCAACAAGCATCGGCATCCCTTCGTAAGTCAAAACTATGTGCCGATCGTAACATATGAATGGATACTACACGGTAGAACGAGTATCCGTTACAGGGAAAAAACTTCTGCAATTTCTCAAAACTGTTGCTATACGAGAACAAAATAGACGCCTCAGAAAGCTGGTGGAATGTACGGTTTCTTCATTATTTACCGAAAAATTATAGTGAATTTTATACGAACAATGGCTTTAATGGTGTTTGTTCTGTACCTGAGTTTTTGTCCCCGTTTTGAGTGCCGAGTGCCGAATAACAGGAAGCAGATGAATGTACAGGCGTCGAGCAGGTAAATAGCGCCAACCAACAACCGCCAGTACTTTCTACAGAAAAAGGGTATTTTTGAGAATTGCGCAATTGTTCTGGTTGGTTCTGGACAATCATAAAGTTTTTATGAATTAGGCTGTCTTTCATTTCACTTTTAATAAGAATACTATTGATGATTTCGTCTTTCTATTGAGAATTTATTACTATTTGAAAAGTTCTACCACAAAAACAACGTCTATTTCAATGATAATGGTAATCAAATGGCATTCACCGTGTGCGTGATATCCACTTCCCTGTTCTCAAATTAGTTTATAAAGCAAGCGAAGCGTGGTGATAACGCCAGTATCGAATTTATGTAAAGGAAATTGCCTCCGAGTGGAGGCTTCATTGCTCACCGGCTTGAAGAACAGCCCCTGGTATTAACCGCTCACACCTGCGATCGCTATGAATTTGTTTAAAGGGGGAATTTTATTTCCCCTTACATGGCTTCATTATTGAAAACGGTAAAATCAATTGTTTATGGGGAGAAACCGAGTCCACATTGACAAAATTTAGTTTAATATTCAATTTTAAGATGGTATTCACATAAACTATGGCTGAAGTCGGACGAAAATAAAACTAGATGCAATATCAGTTGAAGAAATTGAATTTCCTTTGGCAATAGCAATCTTAAAGATGCAGCACGTGCCAGACTCCAGCACAATGGACCTTCTAGGACTAAACGATTCAAATAAGTCTTTCTTACGAGCTCCTTTAGAACCACGTAGAATTTTAATTCGACAGTCACGTCTTTTATCCAGCGATTACCTTTGGAAAGGATAATGGAAAATTTGAACTTGTCTAAATCATTTTATACTGTTTCTAATGTTAATGTAACTATCACTTAGTTGCGGTTTTCTTATATATTTGCAGGCTGTGGTCAGCTAGTATCAGTTACTAGTGGCCACTGCATTACCTTACTGATAGCAGACACCAATATGGCAGCTCAACGTTAATGTTACAGCTGATTCTATTAAATAATATGACATAGGTACCTGGATATCTACAGATGTTTTGTTGCAGTTCTGTCTAATCGTAACATAATACTTCGGAAGACGGAATAGCTGATTATGAAGTAGTTTAATGTGCATTGTTTATAGTGTTAACGCAATTTACATAACACGGTTCCGAGTGTTCCGACAGAAAAGCCTTGACCGTATTCGACCTTCGTTTGTTCAGGAACAATGTTCTTTTTTGCTTCATCCACAATCACATTATTGAACGATAATATTTTTTGTCATCTGTCACCAATCTGTTTTCAATGTTAACAGATGAGTTTAAACTAGCTTGCCATTGTAATGGCAATATAATATTAGAAATATACGCAATCAGAAACATATGCGGACTATACACATTCGAAGCACGACCTATACCCGTGCGTGATACGGCTCTTATCTCTTTGCTCAAGATGTAATTATCGATTGTTTTGGTTAATATTTAACCGTGGTCAGATTAGATTAGTCTTGGTGTTAAAGCACAGACGCACTAGACGCAACTCGCGGTATATAACGGGATGGGTAACCGGATAGCGTGTAATCTCCACCATCTTTATTCTCTCGTCACGCCCGCTGATCCAATTCTGTGGTTTACACGAAAAAATATTCAAAGTTGCTCAATTGAAACCTAGACGCAGCTGTCGCTGTGCAATAGGGTTCGTGCCATTCCGATTGAATTTAGACACGATAAAACTGAAGTAATGATGTTTTAGCCAATACCAGTTCGCATAGCAACTCAACCGATTATATTACGAGCAGCAGATTCATGCAATTGCAAACTTCGAATTCATTTTGGGAAAGTAAGTTAGGAGAATGTTTGTCAGCATGTTTAGTTGTTAGTTGTTCATAATTTTAAATCGATACCTGACTAGCATTTAACCGATTCTTAAGAATCAGACAATAACTATACTTAACGATTTCCATTTTCTATTCAGCCTTGAATTAAAGGCCATCGGATCGATTGTCATAAAGTTAATTTTACAAGTGCATAATGCAGGGCCTCGTGTACTCGTAATATATGCGGCGTCGGGCTCGTGACGCAAATGCCTCGTCGCTTGCCTCAAGTTACCCAACAGCGGCAATGCGGCGTCGATCACGCTAATCTGCATTCTTATGCTAGAGTACGATATACCAGCTACAATATTGCAAGCATTACCATTTAACGCAACAAATACCGATGTTGAGGGATCAGTACCCAATGTCTTCACGCCGCGGACAGAAATATGGAACATGATGTGCGTGATCACGCGTGTGAACCTACCCGATCAATTTGTAATTTAGATTATTACACTTCAACGCTTATCTTCAGCGATTTGTTCGTAACCAAGTACGTAATCTAATGGTTGCCACGGTTCAAATATGTATTTCCATCAAAATCGTTACACCCGTTAACTCCTAAAGTTATTATAAGTTAATTGAACTCCATCTTACGTAACATCGAGAGAAATTGAATTTAGAATTTCTCGTAATTGGGAATTAACAGGTTGCTTCGAGAACGATCCGTGCAAACAAGCATTAATTGCGGATCACTTGAACGTTTTCAGTTTTAAAAGGAACCTTATAAACACTTTACGTGGAAAATACTTTAAAATGTGTAAATACAGTGCTTGGAGGTGGTACAAAAATAAAATGAAGCTGACGTCCCAGTTGGCTCATGAAATAAGGCGCATGATTGCCAAACGATAAATAGGACGACGACGTTGACGAAATTGTTAAATATTTTCATGATAAAAACATCAAATTGGAGACTGCTATCCAAAAATAAATGAACCATTATATTTTATTATTTCCACGTAAAAATCCAAAACTAAAATGTACGTAGTATTACCATCAATTAGTGGAAATGTTTAGAAAGGAAATTCTAAGTGGTAAATTTTAGATCAGTCGGGGTAATCTTTGTTGCAAATCGTTTATGGCAAACAAAATAATTTTATATGAAACATTATTCGTTTATTACTTCCTTTGGCCTCTGATGCACTTTGAGATTTTGAGGAGCATTTGCTAGGAGGTTCGCGAATTCTCCTCGGTATTACCAATCAGAGCGCTGCACCCACTCTTTGGAACGGCTGACGTAACGCAGCCTTCACACTTCTCCGATACTGATGCCCGAGCTGAGGATACTCGTTAATCACCGTTCAGTTCAATAAAAAACCTTTTGTCACGTCCAATTTCTTCACCCGACTTTTTCACTAAGAAATCAGACTCAAGTAATTGGGTTTCGATGTCTGCCAATAGTTGTTGCTAAGTAATTAATTTTGAAGGATAATCTAGATTAATATATTGGTTATGAAAAAGATTGTTTATTAAATATTAGGTATTTATCGATCATAACAACTGCCTATATGTGTTACGGGAATTCCACTATCGTAAGCCAATCTTTATCAGCTCAATTTTGTTTTATTTTGTACTATCATTTTTGATAGCTCGGTATTTCCAAGTGCTATTTTGCATGTCGTTTCGATTGAAGTACTTCTTACCGGCCGCATCGTTATGTATGTGCTGTCATTAACTTGTGCAGGAGTATAAAATTGCGTCTATCACAAACTTAGTTTACTAATTAGTACTAGACTTACATAGAAATGCAACGCCTGTGTTTACAGTTAGTTCATTTATTTACAAAAAGTAACACCATTATTTCTACCATATTTGTCAATTATGTAAAAATTTTTTTCTTTGTCCCCAGATCGGTAGATCATCAGAATCACCGATAGACTTCGTGGTAATGGACACAGTGGCTGGTGATAAAAGTGGCGATACAAAAGTGCTGCAGAGTACAATATCACGGTTCGCTTGCCGCATCATAGCAGACCGTAACGACGTCAACAACTGCCGCATATACGCAGCCGGTTTTGACTCCTCCAGAAATATATTTTTAGGAGTAAGTGACCCGCAGTTTTTCCGTAAAACGTGCTGAGCGCAAATTGTTTTGTACAAAATGCTAAAATATCCTTATTCTTAAACAAGCTTTCCTACCATGTCTGTCATTTTCGCGATAAACTCAAAAACTGCTAAACATTCTTTATGCAGTTTTCACCAGTAGATGGTTCCTAGGATAACGTAAAAATTTATTAAAAACTAAAACATATTTTGCATACATTTCATTACAAAATGTCTAAAATATAGTTAGTTCTTAAATAAATGGTTGAGTTATTTCTGCAGAACAGAACCGATTTTATTTCTTGTAAATAACGTCGATTGTTATGAAGCTTTTTTTATTTTATTTCAACGTAGGTGGACATGAGATACCTATGTCTTGTAGACATTTCGATATGATAAGGGTGGACATACAAAGGATGTTTTGTAACATGAGCAAGACACAAACAAGTCTGGTACCTTACTCAGCCTTCATGTTCCATGTCTTTATAAATCTTATACAGTTATCCATTATACAGTTCTAACGTCTCTTTGCCTCTGACGTCATCAAGCCGGCCGTGACGTACTAGCTTCACGTAAATGAACGACTAATGTCCATAATTTAGTCCCCATTTACTCGAGATGAGCCCCCACTTAGATTCAGCGATCTTTTAATGTTAGCCATTCACAAGTTTTCAAAGCAATTTTGCACTTTATTCGCATTCCCTGTCAGTTGTGAATGGAATTTTAAGACGAAAATCATTCAAATTTTTGGCATTTCTACAGAAATCTACGTGGGTAGTGATGGTATTTTCTTATACGTATTTGAAATTCGTATGAGGTAAACAATGGAGTTTATATTAATTTGCAGCTAGGTAGAGTTGTACTATTTATAGATAAACTAGGAAAACGGCAGCTGCGTAATACCCACGCCTTAAATATTGATCTGTGATCATTAATATTGTACGGTGGAAGTGCGTAGATCTGATATCTTAAAGCCGATAGGCTCTTTAATCAATAAATGCCCATCTCGAGCCACTTTTTTCATTGATGAGCGTTATCAGTTTGCTCTTTTAAGAAGATATTTTATAAGAGTTTTCCATTATTATTAAGAGCTCTTAGTTAATGTAACTTACTTAGCTATGCTTGTTATGATTGGATTGATTTTTTATGTTTCGGGACAGGATAGAGACAACATCCATACAAACGACTATTATGGTGGTTGCGGTTAAATATCAGATACTAAAATAATCGCGACTAAATGCATTCACTCCAATGTTGGTCACATGGTGTCACCAGGAAATGACGGATGTGGACTACTTATTAGTCATTCCACATGTCTTCAGAGAGTGATTGTACTATCCATAAACGAAATATTAATGAATCATTTCAAATTCCAGGAAAAAGCGACAAAATGGACAGAGAATCACGAAATAGATGGACTGACGACAAATGGTGTGTTGATCATGCATCCACGTGGTGACTTCTGTGGCGGTAGCGCCACCTGTGGGCCGTGGCGCGAGACTTCCGTCGGGGGCGCCGTGTTCTCGCTCAGGGAGAGCCGCTCTGCACAACAAAAGGTAACAGATTGAACCAGATACAAAAAAAAAAAAAATAAAAACACTACCAATAAATATCCGGTTAACAAAAATTAACACCTGGTTCTGTTTTTGTATATCAATGCAATGGAGGTCATTTTTGTTTTGGTGGTTGGTTCCTGTCACTTCTGTTGCCAATGAGCCAATGACGTCAGTGTTTAGTATGCTAGGACTGCTAGGTTTTTAATATACACTGTCTAAAACAGGTGTTCAAAATAATTGATACATAAAATTGACATCTGTTGTCACAATAGGGGTCAATTTACTTATTTCTTGACTCTACTGGTGACAATGACGTCACTGTGAAAAATGAAAAATCTCTAATAAAAAAACTAATATTATTTAATCTATTCGATCTCGGCGTAATTGGAAGTCATTATATTCCAATCTAGTTTTTGACCCGACACCACAAAAAAGCCAACAGCTGGTCCTCAAACTTGATTACAAAAAACAGAGCAGATGTTTAATCGCGTGCCCATAGGGATACTCGAAGGAATGCACCTCAAATTCAATTAAATTAGAAACCTTTCAATTTTCAACCCGTCATCAATAAAAAATTCCAAGAATCCGTTTGGAATTTAAAACACGCGTGAGAAACACTTGGGACATATTACTTTATGTATTTCTGTAACGTTTCAACTTACCGATATTTATTCTGTGGACGTGGCCATAAAGTTGAGTTTGTTTTTTTTTAAAGGGCCTGCCCTGTCAAGCCGAGACAAATGTCCTTAGAGATGGAACGATGATAGACTTATGTGGCGCTACTTTACTATGGAGGAGCGCTGAAGGACTTAAAAACTCACCGGTAAGTCTTTGATAATATTGTTTTTTTTAATTATCTATATAGTAGGTATATAAAAGAAAGTCGAGTTAGTTACACTATTTATACCTCAAGAACGACTAAATCGATTTGGAAGAAAATTGTTAGGGAGGTAGCTTAGAACCAGGAGACGGACTTAGGATTTTAATCCAACATTTTGTTTTACTTTTTACCGAAAATCACGATCGGGAAAGGGAAAAACGCGCGTACCAATTCGCGGACAGAAGCTAGTGTTATAATAAATGCGAAAGTTTGCATGTTTGTTTGTTTGTCACTCCTTCACGTCAAAACCGCTGAAGGGATCGGGATGAAATTCGTAACAGAGGTCTAGAATAGCACATAGGACAATTTTTATCTCACGAGATCACAGGAAAAGCTGCTAGTAGAAAATAGATACTTATAATAACCCTGCTTGTTCTAAAATAAATTGAAAATAGCTTAAGTAATATAAGATTATATAATATTGTTTTGTTTTTGCAATTATTTTTTATGCAAGTATGCTAATTCGTCGTTGTATAATATGACATCATTGCTATGCATAATAATTTAATTACATGATAATATCTGTTTCCGATATTTTTATAAATTATTCAGCAATTTAGTTATTTAAATCTACACATTTGTGCCCAAAAGTCTTTGTCTGTTGCTCAAAGAGAGTTATTTCATTATGATGTAATTTTGGAAACCATTACCTACCATTATAATCTGATAGAACTTATCAATGATAAAAACTTAATAGATAAGATTTAGATACACAATTCGCGGGATTATTAGCAATAATTCCAGATTTTGTGACGTAGACCATGTTTAAAAGTACTATATTACTGTGATATTATCTCCAATCGTTTATATTATATTTTGACTCAATAATAGTTTGATATGATCTCTATAGTCATTATAATGTGTTAATCAAAGACGTTGAAATAAAAAGACGAACATACCGTCACTTGGAAAATGATTGTAGCGCCAAAATATCAGTAATGGGTCTCCCCAATCCCTGAATCCCCAACGATGCTCAAACTCCTAATCCCCAAAAGGCCGGTAACGCACTTGTATCGCCTCTAGTGTTCATGGGCGACATCGATTGCTTACCATCAGGTGATCCGTCTGCTCGTTTACCGGCTTATGCCATAAAAAACCACGTCACCAGACTTAAGAAAATGACAGAGGTCCTTCGTTTCAATGTGTGTACGTTCTGTGTGTAAGTCTATTTATTTATTTATTTATTTATGTACACATTCAACACAGAGGACAATACTTATATAAAAACAGAGTACATAGGCCCCACATATTCCAACTGGAATTTCTTACTGTGGGTGTTTTTATATGTACTATACCACAATCGTTATTACAAGAGACTAGGTCCGCCTTTTTTCACGTCCTTGAGTCACTACATTACTATGTGACGTTATCTCGAATCGATTGATTTATTTTGACTCAATGATTTGTCTACATTTATTATTAATACCTTTGAATTCTGAATTGTATTAAGTTGATAGTTTGATATCATCTATAGTCATTATAATGTGAAAACGATGATAAAATATGTGTTAGATATACTTAATGACTAAGAATAATCTCTTTGAATTTCCCAAATTATTCAGTCGTTTATCTGATTATCTGCTGACGAATCATAATGATTGAGTGTGACAATTTGTGTCTATTCATTGATTAACTGTTTATGTTGATATTCAAAATGAAAGGTTATTGCTGAACTGAATCATAGGATGAATTCTTACTATTCTATACTCATTGCTATGGTAATTTAGAACCTGAAAACTGCTTCGACTGTCTTCACGGTGGAGTGGTCGCTAGTGCAACTGCTGAACAAGAGTTCGCAGTCATAATCACAAAGTATGATAGATGCCTAATTTTTATTTTAATGTCCGTCTGGTAGTTTATTTTAAATTATTAGACACTTATTTTTTATTTTCTTACAGAAACGAATACTTTCGACTATATATTGATTTGAAATGTCGCGTTACGTCACTTCTATGTACATTTTATACGTAGAAATGACGTTTTAGCCTCCACTCTTAAACTTTGATTCGTTTTATCTTAGTATTGTTTTATTATAGGACAAAAAAATACGATTCTAATATTTTTTCATTACCTTACCTAATTATATTTTTAATTTTGATACCCTGTCATCATCCCAATTCCAAACGTAATACATACTCGACATACGTTAGTGACATACACGACAATTTTTGAATAACCGAATAAACTAGTATTTTATCCGTACTGAGAATTCTACTTAGGAAACTGACCGACTGACAGTGTCTAAATCAAATCAGTATTTTTAAATTTAGCAAAATACCTATACCAAGTAAAATAGTTTTATGCAACAGGTTCTCTTCCATGTAAACATAATATGACGTCATAATTTGCTATTTTAAACACACCTCATAATTTATATCAAATGTCCGTTTGTGACATTTAGAGCCAGTGTCGAATTTTAATATTATTTGGTATGTTTATTATTCCTCTATACTTGTATTTATCAATAAGTCAAGTCGATCGGAAGTCTGTTTTTTTATTGTCTCATAGATTGCTCGTTGCTCGATCTTCTCCATAAAAATCTACATTTTGGCACGAGCAAAAAGCTTAACGAAAGTACCTAAAGACCAATATTTTTCTTATACATATGACATTCAAAAGTCACCCTTATAGTTAATAGTTTTAGGTCTAATCATTAATTAATATTACTTTTCTATCTTCCTCAGACTAAACGCGATCTCGAAGCATTAGTGGACGAGCTGAACGCGGGCCGACCGCAGTGTCCCGTTGGACTGAACACGCTTGTCATACCGCGCAAGCTGTCCACTGCACACCAGGACCTGAACCAGCCTTACGTATACCTCAACTGCGGACATGTACAGGGTAAGCTAACAACAACTTATTAGCCTTATTAATTAATCCTAAGTCCACATTTGTTCTCACAATTGTAGTCTCTGAACATCTGAAATAAGGTTTATAATCGATTAAGTGAAGAGAGGTATTTAGAAAACTCTCGGGGATTTAAAAGTGGTGATGCCATAGAATACATTTTGTAACCACCTGTATTCTTCTCACAGGTGTTTTAAAATCAATTGTCTATCCTGAAATTGCGAGAGAGAGCTACAAAACACTCACTACTCGACTAAAATTGTAGCGTAGTGCGAACTAGACTTTAGAGGTAGGGCAGCAGCGATGTTAGATCTGAATTGTTTTCGGCATTTCTTTTCAGAATAGTCAATTGGCAAAGGCTGGCCTCACCTAGTTCTTTAAAAAAAAACCTGTAGAGATACTAGACCTTGTGGCCTATTAGCTGAAATGAATTCACTTGTTTCACTTGTTTGATAAATATTATCCTTTTAATTTATGATCTTCAACCCACCTGCCGAGCGCGGAGATTATAGCAAAAACCGCTTTTATAAAGCTCACCCATAGTCCATTACTAGAACCCTTACGGAGTGTTTTCTTCGCAGTTTGTCTCTTCTGTGAATCCAGAGTTAAAAGGAAGTAAGTAAAGCGGTTGGGAAAATGTCCCGAGCAAAAAAAAAATGCTAAAAACCCCATTCAAAAAATGTTTTGTTTCCATTCTTGCTTATCTATAAACCCCGTTTAATGATATCGACATGAATCGATAGCAAAATGGACACAATAGAGATTGTTCAGACAATAGATAATTACTGTAGTACATTTGATGTATTATTACTTGCCCTATAAAGGCTTCTACGCCGTTATAATATAAAGAATAAGACACAAGTTCAATGTATTTTGAAACGATGAACGAGGAAGAAATTGCGGAAAACAATAATACAAAATCTTTATATGGATTTTTAAAGAGCGTGCTATTTTATCCCCTGCCAAGGGTGGAGGTTATGACATGGTAACCTCCTCTTTTGTAGGGGCCCGTAGTCTAGCTGTTGACTGATGGGTTGTTGTTGAAGACTGTTTCTGTGCTTTAGGAGCACGTTTACTGGTCCGGTTATCTGGAAATATATTGGTCAAATACTCAAATGCCACTCAATTTTAGGACGCTCTCAAGAAACTAGACTATTTCTGAACAGAAACAGAAGTATCTCTGCCACTACAAATTCTTTGTAAAATGACAGAGATATTGAGTAGAATTTTAGTATTCGGACATTAGTCTCATAAATCTAGCCATATGGGTCTGGGTTTGCTAGTTAATTAAAATATGAATGTATGTATACCGAGGAGACTGGAACGAATAACAGTCAAATCTGGTTAAAACCGGTAAAAACCCAATGGCAAACTAGTTGCTAAATGTCCAGGAAAAATGCTGTGTGATTAATTTGACTAAATTAATTCAAATAATGGTATCAAAATAAATGCAGTTTCTCAGAAGTAGTGTGTGTAGTGTACATATTTATTATTTACAATTTAAATTAAAAGTAGGTATAACGAGGTGTTATTATGCGAATAAAACAAACAAACTAATAGGAAATTTAAATAAACGAAATAAAAAGATAAGGTAAGAACATATTGTTTTTGTGAATCGCGTTTGTTAGGGAAAATATTTATTATGTTTTTTGTCAATAAGTTGGTGCTGATAACCTAGTTTTTTGTCATAATATTTTAAACGAGCATGCATGAAGAGAGTGATGAGTGTAGATTAGGCAAAAGAGGCATGCTAGAAGCGTGCAATTTTTTTCTTTAACTTGGCTTTACACCATGATACCTTAGGGTAGGTGGTAGGTAGTTCATTTTAAAACATTAGACACGTATTATTTTCTTACGAAAACAAATACATTCGACGGTATAATATTGATAGTCACGGGCAAGTGCTGAAAATCAGCGCCGCGACTCGACCACACTCGTGTCACGGCATTTAAGCTGAGCTCTGGCCTTTTTGCGCCGTCTTTGCTATATTGTTTTATATTTTTGTGTTATTGTACCTTGTGACGGTGTGCAAATAAACCATTTTTCTTTCTTTCTTCTTTCATTTGAAATATCGCGTGACGTCACTTCTAGGTTCGTATTATACGTATATTATGTACCTAGCTCCCACTCATAAACTTTGATTCGTATTATCTTAGTATTGGTTTCTTGTACGACAAAAGAAAAAACTACGTAAAATTTTTTTATTACATAATGGATTAATTGATTTTTAATTTTCATATTCCGTCATAAACCGTTCAATTTAAAGATTTTCTATCCTGCCTACCTTAATGTAGGCCGGGATTGACGATGTATGTCTAAAGTCATATTGTAATAACTATGTGACTAAGGACCTGTCCGTACTTAGTTGAATAACTGGGCGCTTAACATTAGGAAAACCCATTTGTAATTTGTATTAGCCAACTTATTATCGCGAAGCACTAATATAGGAATATTACAAAGAAATACCATATTGTTATGGTTTTCCAAGTTAACTTTTGGACATGACCAAATCGTGGACAGGGTCGCGGTTGGTAATCCATAGAAAATTAAAATAAAACAAAAGACATGTCAGTATAATTCTTCATTATTCTGTTGTAATATTGTATGATAGTTATTTTAAACATTGCTATTATTTTTAAGGATTACGGCGGTAAACGCAATCGTTGGCGCGGTGGGTGGGCAACTGGCTGCCGCGCTACGTGTCGCGGGTTCGATTCCCGCACGGAACAACTCTTTGTCTGATCCACAGATTGTTGTTCCGGGTCTGGGCGTCATGTCAGAACTTGTATGGTTGTAAACGCACCCACGACATAGGAGAAAATAAAAAAGAAAATAATAAAAAAAATGTCGGCCTCTTGGGGATTTGGGGATTGAGGACAGGGGTTTTTATTATTCAAGCAAGAGTAATATGCGTTGCGTTTTATACCTTTATTGTACGATTGTAACACCAAAAGATAATGCAGATACGTAGAAACACAAAATGAAATAACGCATCGTCATCAAAACACTACTAAATACACTTTCTTACATATAAACAGATTGCTACAATATTCTAATTTGATAAGCAACAGTTGAAGTACCGTAATAATGTATCACTTATTTAGCACAAAGCACTTGAAACTTTATGTACAAAGTAATGACTTTCATTTTCTATTGCCACGTGTAATGTGATGTAATGTCTGTATACTGCGTTTACATAAATTAATTGTTTAGTAAAACAATAGCTTCAGAATTGTGTACATTATTATTTGTACTTATACATATATAATAATATGTTCTATGTGTCACATCAATGTAATCCAAAGAATTTGATAGAAAATAGTAGGATGACCTGCTGCCTACTGCATACAGTTACACACACATCTATACGCTGTTTCATTAATTTGAATACACTCATACTGTGTTCTACTTTTGAATGATGTTAGGGAAATGACGATGCTGTAACTTTATCATGCTGGGGAGTAAAGAAGGAATGAAAAATATTTTTTATTTTCTTTTCTGGTCCACTTAAGATGGATGCAATGGTCTGACTTAGAGATTTAAAAATAGAAGGAGTATGAGGGAGAATGGCAAAAATGTATGACACCAACCTCAAGTAATGTGATGTTAGGAGAGAAATAACATTTGTTTATTTATTTTATTAATGAAAGTTATCATGGTGATAATGTCAAAAACTATCATGGCATTCTGACTAGGATAGTCAGAAGTACCCCTATACTTATTATACTCTTTGGTTTTGCTAAATCTTGCAATATTTTTATCCTACAGGCGAACATTCGTGGGGTGCAGAAGGCAGCGAGTCAGGATCTCGACGTTGCCCCATGTGTCTGACTGCTGGCTCTGTAGTGCGCGTCTGCATGGGAATTGAACCTGCTTTCTACGTGGACGCCGGCCCACCCACCTACGCATTCAACCCCTGCGGACACATGGCCTCCGAGAGGACCGTCAAGTTAGTATTTATTCGCAAATGTCCGTATGGATTGAGGAGCCACTTTCGATTTAAAAAGGAAGCTCGCCCCCTTATTTAGTAGGGAAGTAAATAATTTTGTAGACCGAATTCTGAAATTTGTAGTATAATATGTCTAAAGTTATGTAACTGAGAATGTGGCTCCTCATCCAAACATCTGAATTGAGGAGCCACCTGAAACACGGAAAGTATTTCATGTATATTTTTGAAAATTTTGTATCATTTAGTAGCAATTGTGTATAGTGTCTACTAAAAATTTGAGCCCAGTATTGTTTATATTCAAGAATATACAATACTTTTAATGTGGCTCCTCGATCTATACACAAGAGCATGAATTGCCATGAAAGTTATTGGTCAATTTATATTCCACTCTAAAGACATTTAGTAGTAAGTGTGTTCGAATTTGTAGTATATGGACAAAGTAGTAGACTGAGCGAATTTAATAAATAAATGCATTTCATTTGGCTCCTCAATCGTGACGTCTGCATAATAAATAATTGACTGTACCTACCTGAGATCAAAACGGAATAAAATACCAGAGACACTAACATTTAGTATAAACGGTCTACTAAATACATATGCACAGATCAACATTGTATATGTTCGGTATCTGAAAAACAAATCACTTCTGAATATTCCTTACGAATTCGCTATTTAGGGTGACCATGTTATATGAATTAAACTAGGATGATTCATTTTTGAAATTTAATTTTTCGACAATATTCGGTACAAAGATT